ATTTTTTTTAACGATTTTATCCATCTTGCATATGTGAAAAGCGAAAACAGGTTTTTTGCACAATTTTATGTCATGACTACTAGCAAAAAATTCGCTCGCCTCCACCACTGGCTTGCTGGTTCATATAAGTTTTCAACGCATAAGCAGGCAGAAACTAGGAAAATATTGCCATCAAATCAACCGATTACTTTTTTTCTAGTATAAAGGGCCTGCGAGAAATGACGGACGAGCAAGAAGGACTATGGAAGCCACTATAGATCTATAGTAAGTCATTCGTATTCATAAACTAAATGCGAGTTTTGATCTGTTATCGCCGCAAACATCAAGAAAAGATAAAGTGCCAGTTCCGAACGATGAGTTCAATTGATAATTACCAGCTCAACTGATGTTCTAAATTCTGATAGATTCATAATGAGACCAGCATGTATGGGAGCATCGAAGATTTTGCATAGTATAGAGATAAATTTGAAAACAACATGAATAAACATAAACATATAAATCATAAACATAAACAAAGTAGAAAGGTTCAGAAAATTCTTACCTCCTCTTTCTTGATCGGTTCTATTGGTTTACCATCCACACCGATGTCAACATAATGCTCCTCATCATCATCATCGCCTAGTTTAGCATTTTGAATTGCTATGCGCTAAATTTACAAAATTGTATGAAAAGTGAGAGAGGAAAGCGCCTTCATAATTAGATTTGTTAGGAGTAGAGAAAACCAACATCGATTTGTTTCTCCACGACAATCAAGCCTTTTCTAGTTTCTAGAAGACGTGAAACCAGTATGAGTATGCCAGCAGTCAACGCAGGCGCTGCACATGTTGCTGCCTGAACACTATTCACATAAGCAAGAAATACAGCGGGAGTTAAGAAACCTGGAGTAATCGTTTCACAAACGAGCGAACACGATAATCAGAAGGATCCGCTTTCAACACTTTGAAAAGCAGCAACAATAACTGATTGTAACTTGCGGGTGGTACATCTACGAGAAGTTTCCGATACAACGCTGTGTAGAATCGATCCGAAAGCGAATCGCTATAATTAAAAATGATGTTGAGAAGAGTAAAAAAGTTGATATACATGAAAGAACGATTTATGTACGCCAAAACGTTCAGACGAAAACGAAGCTATGCCCACATAGGTACGGTAAAAGTTTGGAAGCCCAGTACTTTTTTAGAAAAAAACTAAAGAATTTGGTGTGCACATAATTTAAACCTTCACAAATACGGCCCAGCTCTTGAATTCTCTTGAATTCTCAAAAGCATAGCCTCTTCCGGCACCACGCACCTCCTTAAAATCTCGGTAGGTCTAGGTACCTATCGTGGCACGCGGGTAGTCGTAATAGAGTTCGCTACACGCTTTCACCGTAAGTGCTTTACTTGGCAAACATGCAGCATGATGGCGACCTTTGGCTACAATGTAATTCCAAGAGAATTCCTCACAGCGTCTAAGAATTGCAAGTATTGAAATTTCAAGTGGTAGTCAAGTGCACGTCGCATACTGGAAATGTGGTTAATTTGCGCGAAAGAAGACGGAAAATCAAAGTTTAAAGCTAACTCGATCGAATCTAAATAGATACTCAAATGGAAGACGCATGGAAAAATAGCCTTGGTCTCAGTGCCTGCTTCGATTCTATAGCTTTCAAATTTGTTCCAAAGGCAGATGACTACTGGACGCAGGTGACACTCGCATACTTCCGTTTTCACAAGACAGATCCTGGCAAACGCAATACTAATTTGCGAGCGCAAAAGCCTCCTCTACTCTGCATGCTTCATAGAGATGTAATTAAAGGCAGCGGCCCGGCAGAATTTCGTTTTCCAG